AAACGGAAATGATATATATGTAACAACTACGCCTCAGTTCCAAACAAGTTAGAGTCAACAATTACCTGCTACAGGAATCTCAACCGCGAACTCCGTGTAGCAAAAAACAGAGAGCAAAGCAGAGACACCAGATACAACATATGATAAAACAACAGCAGGACCAGCTTCTTGATTAGCTTCAAGACCTGTAAGAACAAATATTCCAGCTCCTATAACAGCTCCCATTCCAAACCATATCAAATCCCACCATGTAAGTGTCTTCTTCATTTCATTCTGGCTCCGCGACTTTGATTCCAACTCTTCCTCGTCTTTAGAACGTGTTAGGATCCTATCGATTAGTCTTGTTGGCGTTTGTATCAGTGCATTCGCATAGTTTCCCCAGCTTTTGAACGATTCCTCAGGAAGAAAATCGTCTTTCGTGCATGAACATACTCTTCTCCTTATTCCTCCTTCTGAATTTGTTTGTTGATCTACACCCTCAACATCCATTCTTCACAACTTGCCTCCTAAATTTAACAAGTTTCAACATAAAGAGACGATAGAAACGCGATACAAACATGTACATAGGCGAATACAGGATTCAACGTTTACAAGAAAAACACATATTAAATCAAATAGATTCAATGTGACACACACATGTACATAGGCGAGTACAAGATTCAACGTCTATAAGAAAAACATGTACCTCCTAATGTCGACTTATCACATTCTCGACTGGTGAAAAAGTCAACAACATCGAATAACGACATAATACATAAACATGTTGTATAACTTGACTTCAGCTAGCATCTACATCCTCCAACTTTGGGTGTGTAGACACTTAAATTGTATAAAGTTGAACAAGTAAACACACTACATGACACAATACAAATAAGTTGACACGTAGGACGAGAGTCACTCATGCAAATTGTCACGTAAGACACATGTGTATACTTGTTCAATTTTATACAGTAACGTATATACTATTATGTTCCTTTCCACACCCCAAACATATAACTATGTGAATTCATCATTATGTTTTGGGAATTGAAGTAAAAACTAGAAAATAAAATATGGAAATTGAAGTAAAATAAAAGTATCATGCATGTATGATGTACCTATTAGAGCTCCAAGAGATATTCACAGAATCACAATATAAACTTTGCATATAATAAATATATATAAATAGAAGAAAAAAATGTGTTTATTAACGATATTTTCTCTGAATTCATCGTCCGGCAAAAGATACTATAAACAGCTAGCAATACACTCCAAAAAATGAACTATTTTTTGTTTATAACATTTATCGTTCAATAGTTTATCCAAATATTTCTTTAATTTTAAGCATAACACATAAATGTGCCTTTGAATTTGACTTCATCTGACATTTTTGCTCTACAACTTTGAGTGTGTACAAATAGACATTTAAATTGATATATAATTGAACAAGTATACACACGTTTCACGGGACATTTCATGTCTTATATGGCATCCTACGTGTACTATGTCATGTAGGACGTGCATGTCTACTTGTGCGCAACCAAAATGTTGAAGTAATGTCCATGCAAATCCTCCATCTTGCTAATTTCGATTTTATTGAATTAATCAATCGATGTACTATCAGACGTTTATTTTAAATTCGATAATTTTTGTAAAAACATTTTAACATATAGTAATTAATATTTGCATTATGAAATTAATAAGAAAAGGGCAAAAAAGGAACTTGAGAAAAAAAAAACAGATATGGGCACTCCATTCTGCTCCCGTTATGCTTCTCTCAACTTCACGCATTTTCCCCCCAGCTTAGCTCCGGCGATTCAGTTAACGTTCAATACAACTCTCCGGCGCCGGAACGGCGTCGTATCATCTCGAATGGAATCAACATCCATTTCTCTTTCCGGCGACTCCAGCACTACCTCCGTCAGCGCCACTGCTGCCGGCGGCGATACGACCACAACCGGCAATAATAGTACAGAGGAGAGCTCGATTACCGATACGGTGGTTCAGTATGTTGTTCTACGGAGAGATTTGATTGATACGTGGCCGTTAGGAAGTGTGGTTACGCAAGGCTGCCATGCCGCCGTCGCCGCCATTTGGTCTCACAAAGACGATGCTGTTACTCTTCAATATTGTAGCCCTTCCAATATCGATTCGATGCATAAGGTAAATCGTCTAATTAGTTGATTTTTGTTTAGTAAGATTCATCATTACTGTTTCGGATTCACCAGATCAGTTAGTTATAATACATTTGATCATGTTAAAGTATTTGTACTATAAGTCAGCTAGAAGGTAATTGGAGGTATATCTCTGTAAAAAACAATACTTTAGCTGAAGAAATTGTAAAGAACATACTATTATTGGTTAGCTTAGTATATGCTAATAAGACTGTGGAACTTGCAACAACTTTAATGATAATAGTTATGTTGACTGCAACAACTGAGGGTAAAAGTGCATATTGTGTGCACCTCGACTATTCCACTGGGTACCTGTTACCTATTAGATAAGTTTGTCCACCAAGGCTTAGTCAGATGGGATTCATAGGAAGAGATTATCTAGTTTTTCTTTTCCTGCTGGAACTTTGACTCTGATCTCCAAGGTTTGTGCCCACTACATTGACTGTTAGGCCATACACAAGGTGCTAGTGAAGAATGTATATTAGTCATTAGATTATTAATTTAGATATTAGTAAGCTAAGAATTCTCATGGTTGTAAGGTTAGCAAATGAAATTGATGGGTGAGGTTGTTTGATGCGTTGTGTTATGTCAGGAAAAGGCCAAAATGGTTACACTTGTTACAAGTTGTGTGGTTGGTTTCCTGGTGCACTAGCTCCTGTGTGATTTATTCTCTTAAGATGTTCAATTTTCAGTTGTATGAAGTTGAAAAGAGCAAATGGTGCTTATAGAAAAACAAAAGCCAGATTGGTGCTCTGTTAGTGATCGCTTAGGTTAGTATGTAAAACATGAATTATGCAGAATTTTACACTGAAGTTGCTTGCTGTGAACTTGGGGTCAATAAATGCCATTGGACATTTCTAAAGAAGCTCAATATTCTAGATTACACTATGGTTAACTTATATTATGCAATGAAATAAGATTGTTTTTTGAGGAGGAACTGAAGATTATTTGTAAGCAACTTCCTTATAATCAGGAAATAATTTTCAGAATGGCGTCCACATATTTTCCAGTTCGATGCATTCTAACGTAGATAAGTCCTTGGTATAGAGAATTTAGAGAAAATCAATGATTCAATGCAACTTCCTTTCTTGGCTATGTAGGTAACTCTTGAAGTGAAAGGTGAAGCCCAGATACTGAACTTGGCAGAAAAGCTAAAAGCTGGGGGCATTGCTCATAAACTGTGGATTGAACAACCAGAAAATATACCAACCTGTCTTGCTACAAAACCTTATCCAAAATCCCTGGTATCTTCATTTTTCAAGAAGCTAAAACTTTGTAAATGATGAATTTCAAGTGCCATCCGTTTTTGTGATACTGACACAAGTAGGCTTAGTTTCGGCGCTATGGAATTGAACCTATTTGCTAATGATGAGCTCCTCTATTTGTAATGATTAATATTCCTTGCTGAACCCTTTGACCTTTGCATGCGGTTCATCTTGATTTATAATCTGGTGATTCTGTCCCGATGAATATTGATCTTAATTTTTAGCTATATTTGAAGTTTTATTGATTTATGCTCTAATCTTTTGGGTAGTGGTGATGAACTTGTGTATTTTCTACTGTGGCTTCACAACTTTATTTCTGAGCTTCCACTCTGCCGTGCAGCTTATCCTCTTAATTATCAGGCCAACTTTTCATGTTTGGCCTGTCTCTCCAGCTCTAATCTTTCGGTAGTGGTGATTAACTTGTGTATTTTCTACTGTGACTTCACAACATTATTGTTGCGCTTCCACTCTTCTGTGATGCTTGTCCTCTTAATTATCAGCCCAAACTGTGTGTGTTTGGCCTATCTCTCCATAAGTTGTAATGGCTTTGGGCAATCCACCAAACTACCGGAAAATGGGTTCATTGAAGAATGCAGTACGTAAAGAACCTAACACAACCTAGTTGGTTGAGGAACCTGGTAAGCCAAATTCCTTTAAAAAAAATTCGGGAAATTGGTTTTCAGCATTTCTTTCTTTTGGCTATGAAAATTCTTTACCACTGAGTGAGTCATCAAAGTCTTTTGCCTTCCGTGTTGTCTCTATCAGCAGTCAAGTTTCATGAAATGTTAAAAGTTATTATAGTTTGCATCTTCTTAGATAAATATGAAAATTCTTCAAATCTTCTGAATTATTTTGTCGTTAACTGAAATGGATATACTGCTGCAGCTTTGTAGCAGTTGCTGTACACTGGCATATGTAGCCCTTAATTTGAAGGATGGCCCCCTAGTAGTTAGAGAGATTTTCCAATTTTAAGTCTACAAATAGGTAGTAATTGGATCATGCAATCATCTAATCAATCATGACAACTTTCAATCCAATCATTTCCATTTCAATTTGTCCAAACATTTCATATTACTTTTAATTACAAGCTTTATTACAACTTCTCTTACCATACACTACACTTAGGTTAGTTATCAGTTAAGTCCAATTCTTTCATTTTAGTTTTAACTTTTAATGTAACTTTCGGTGTTAGGATGCTATCAAGTAGTCTAGGAACTTAGTGTTGAGAAGTAGAATCTCCTTTTTCTACATTGATACTCTAATAGCAGTTGATAATCATTCAATGATATTTTGATTTATCGTTTGATCTGATACATTACCATTTTGGCCATCAACAATCCTATAAAATAAATTTCACTACCACCAGAACCTGTGGCAAATTCAAAGGGAAATATTACATGTGTATACAAATCTGATTTATACACGAATCACCAGGGTTTTTTCTCACTGGTACTTCTATACAGAGCCGTTTAAGATAAAAGCTCTAAAGCAATACAAAATAAAACCACATATTTGTCCTATCCTTTTTTTTTTCTTTGGATTTCTTTTTTCTTGAGCTTTTTTCTTCTTTTTTTTGTTTGTGAAAGAATTGTATGTTCCTAAAATTTACTAATGGAAATACCTTTCTGACCAACAATTATAGATGAATACAATTTTGGTGATGCATTCCCTATCAGCCATACTGTAGCTGTATGTCTGACTCTGATCTTCCACTCCAAGCATGTCCAGTTCTACCAAAAGTTCTAATTTACGCCCTGAAATTAGAATATTTCCAAAACGTTAATCAGAAAACTGTGTATGATTCAGCTGCAGATGTTAAATATACGTTTATGTCACATGCATCAGTGTCTCAACAGAAACACATATTGATTATAGTTAGAAATCATGACACATGATAAAAATATGAAGTGATTTGATTACAATTATATTATTGTTTCTGTTCATGTTGTTACTTGTTACTACGATTTTATCATTATCATCATTTTTATTGGTTTCTGAACAAAAATATAAGTAATACTTTTTTTGAAATATAAGTAATACTGAAAGTTCCTCAAAGCTGGTAACAGAATAAACTGAATGGTAACTATAATCATACAGCTACCAATGAAGATATGTATACTCGAAACAGAAATACTCACTTGGGCTCCTGCAAGGAGATGACAGTTTCAAAGGCACCAGCCAGTGCTTTCACTCTGTTCTTCCTTTGCTGTCTAAGCTTACTTGCAGTCTCTTCAATCACATCATTGGAGACCACGGATTCCTTCTTCCCTTGCACCACTTGACGTTGAGGCCTTGATGAAGCCACAATAGTATTAGTCTGTTGCACTGCTTCATGCTCCTCTGCCATTACAGTTTCCTTTCCTTGGTTTCTTCCTCCATCCTCTTCTTTCACTTCTTGAGTCTCATCCACTACTTTTACCGTGTTCTCTTCAAGATGATGTTTGTTAGGATCATTGGTAATTTCTTCTGGTTCTTTAGTGTTGCTGGTGCTGGTTTCTTCAACAAGTTGTTTCTCTTCTGTTTCTTCCATCTTATTAGTTTCTTGGTTCTCCAGATCTGTTTCAGCATTGATTACATTTCCATTATGCTCTTCTTGATCTTCAATGGCTGAATTGTTTTCTCCTGCATCAGAAGCAGCAGCTTCACTGTGGTTAATGATCACATCACTTTCAGTATCAGTAACTGGAAATTCTTGATTATCTTCTTGCTCTGATAGTTCAGCCTGAGGGCTAACATCCTCAGTTACATGGAGAGAATCAGTTATTACTGATGCTTTAGGTGTTAAATCATTGTGACCATCCTGATCGTTGCTCGACTTGTATATGTCTTCTTCATCAGTTTCAGCCTGCAGAATGACATCCTCCACTGCATGAGAAGAATTAGTTATTGATGCTTTTGGTGTTGAACTATTATGACCATCTTGATCATTTCTTGTTTTGTGTGTGCCATTATGACTAGTCCTGCCAGCCTCCTGTTTCTTGGAGATTATGCCGGTAGTTGTGCTCTTCTTTATTGTCCCTGGTGTAGCATACGTGCTAGTGCCACGTTGTTTACTGGTGGCATCCTTACTCATATGAGATGCTCTGGATAATCTATCTGAAGGGGGTTTCTGGGAAGTTGAACTTTTTCCTGAAAACGATGAGGATGACCGAAGAATTCTCTCTTTAGGATTAGCGTTTTTTTGCAAAGTAGCAAGAGGAGGCTTATCGAATGATCTTCTTCGAGTTAGAGTAGGTTTATTGTGAATGTTGGAATCACCTGATGAAGACATTGTAGGCTTGAGATAGTTGGGAACATTCTTGTTTGATGTAGTTGAATCTGCTTGCTTCCGCACCGGAGAGTTTGTAGTTGATGAATTAGGACTTCTCAGATAATTGGGAATAGGATGTGAAGGAGATACTCCTCTCTTCTCCTTTCCTGGTGGTGCAGTGTCCTTTCCCCTTGTTGCCATTATATTCTTTGGCTTAACTAGATTTTGAACTTGTATTTTGCTGCAAAACAGTAGTAATAAGTTAAAAGTTATGAAAAAGTCACCAAATGGACTTTTAACACAAGCTCCTACAGGCTACAAGCATTACTTTTATTATTTGCCATCATTGAATTCAATGAAAGACAAATGCATGCATTGTTCTAAATCTTAGCCCAATTTCTCCACAAATTAGAAATATTGATCCCAGAAACAATCTTATATATTCCTCCTTCTAACCCTTTCTTTTATAACTGTGGTGTATGTGTCAGCTGACACGTGCCTCGACTAATTGCAGAGATACCTACCATTTTCCACCAGCAGCAACAAATATCAGGTATCAAGTAACTTTATCCACTAAAGCTTAAGACATATGGGGAAAATTACCTAGTGTTCTTGTCCTATCTTTTATATTGTTCCCTTTTCCTTTTCTTATCCTAAGCCATACCCCCCCCCCCCCCCCCCGCGTGTGTGAATGGCCTGCCAAACCAAAAGTTTTTGTACACATTTGTTGCTCATAATTGAGAAGCAACTACCAAATATATAAGAACAATCTTTAGGAATACATTCATGCAAAATTGCAAAAAATAAAACGAAGAAAAACTTTTGGCAATCATGATTTTAATGCAATATAAGGAAAATGCACATATTAAATGGGAGTCTTAGAGCAATGATAAAGTTATTTCTGTTGAAGCAATGACTAAATACTTGCATTAGAATAAGTTATCTACATTACACCCTTAAGGTGCGACTCTTCCTCGAACCTTGCATGCGAAATATGTTGTGCACGGGCAAAAAATACACATTCAACAAAAGAAAACAGAAAGAAGGACAAATTTATAGCACCTTTTTAATTTTAATCAAAATAGATGATCCATGACCTCCACTATATTAGATAGATAGATAGATGATTGATAGGGAAAAGAAACTTAAAAGAGAATTGTGAAGAATTTTTTTAAAAATAAGTAGGAAAGAAAAGAAAAAAAAAGGTGAAGAAATAGAGAGATTGATGAATTTGGAAAGAGTTATTTTTGGGAGTTTGGTTGTTATATTAAGTACGAAAATTATGGATAACCCAAGGTTGTGGAAGCACATAAACACAAAGATGTGATTATCATTACAGCTAATACGAAATTATTAAATACTATAATATTACTTTGGCTATTTCACCAAGGAATATATGTCACAATTTTATTCGTTAGTCTATATGAATATTCTTTATTTAGTTTGATAATATAATCTTTAAAATTAGTAATGGGAAGCACAACATAGTATAGTGCTCTGCCTGCACTTTCTCCCACATCATAATCTAATTTTTATGTATTAATTTGTCAACAACCATCGAGACTAAAAGTGTCAAATTTGTGCTTTGGGCTAAATCTGAATAGGTCAAAATGAGTTAAGTTAGTAAATAAATCGATTAATAGGTTATGCAAGTTGAAATAGAGTTATGGACAAAGTTAGAATGAACTAAACAATAGGTCATGTCAAAATAAACAAGACCATTAGAGATCGTTTGGTTGAGAACAAGATATTTCAAAATTAATCATTTCAGAATAAGTTATTTCACCATGTATATGAGATAACTTATCTCATCACTAAGGTATAAATAGTGAGATAAATAATCTCAGGACCGCCTAATATCTAAGGCAAGAATAATTTTGGGAATTTTAGGAGCTCAATACCTGTTGGGCTAAGCCAAATGTAACAAGAATTGAACTTTTCCTTACGACAAATAGCCAAATAAACCATATATGAATTTATGTATTATTATATACAATATAGAACATGGAATAAGAATAAAGTGTTAGTAATAACTCTCATATGGTAAACACTTATGTTTTGCTTAAAAAGTATATATCCATTTTTTATTATACTATGTATATCGATATTTATAATATGACAAATTAAAGTTTCAACAAAATAGAATTCTTACATAATCTCAACATAACTTGACTCTTATAAGTTATAACACAATCCTTTAGAGCATCAACTTAGAAATAACAAGTCCTTACATTACTAGTATTTATTCTTTAGTGGTGTATACACAATTCAATTTTTGAGTCGGTTCGATTTGTAAACATACCCAATTATATCCAAATTGGAAAATCATAATATTTTATAATTGAATTTGTAAATCAAATTCAAATTTTATAATTCAAATAGTATTATTTGAATTGATTCGCATCGATTCGATGATTCGGGTTGAACCGATTTGTGCACATGCCTAATTTTGTGTTTGTATATTATTACCATTAATATTGTCAATTAAGTTTTCCTTTTTAAAAAGAAAAGTCCCCACCAAATGCTGACTTTTGTGCTTTTTATTAATTATTATTAAGGTTGTACTAATTATTGCTTGTGATTTGTTCCCTTCTTTTTTATTTTTAAATAAAGCAGTTGTGTCCCAATATGTTTGTCCTATTAATGGGCCTATATTCACGGACACAAAATTATTTTATTTTTAAAAAAAAAAATGTTTAATGGGGTTATCATTATTATTCAGAAAAGTGAAAATATAACATTTGGAAAACAAAAAAGTATAATTCCTATTAGAATATATGATAATTTAAAAAAAAATATTTTCCTCCATATTGAATATACCCTAAATACTACAACAAGGGGGTCTAGAAAAAACATAAACCTTACTCTTACCTCATGAAAGTGGTGAAAGAGAACTAATAATCCGCCGTCTTAGGTAACACATATAAGTGCCCATTTTTGGAGACGATGTTTTCAGTGATTTGTTTTGTCATTTTTAAGGATTCAAATTTAAAACTTCTGTCTAAGGATAAAAGAATTTCAATCATTCCTTCATAAGATTTATTTATTCGAAAAAGTGAAAAAAGAAAAATGAACAAATTAGAAAAACTTGACCTAATGATATATTCCTTGTGATTTGCATGAAGAAGATCACGAGAGTCAAAAGAGAAAGAAATTAAAAATAAAAGGGTGGTGACATCCATAATTCTATGAGACTATTCTCATTATTTTACATTGGGAAAGACCAAACATAAATTTTTATTGAAATTTAATACTCCCTCCATTTCATATTAACTTAAGCTTTGAGCCTTTTTTTATTTTTTAAATTAACTTAAATTTTCAATTTTCAAGACTATTTTTAAAATATTCTTCCAATTTTACCCTTTAAGTTAGTATTGGAATTAGTTATTATAATTAATGTTTAGTTATTTTTGACAATAATTAATAAGGGTAAAAATGGAAAATTATGTTCAATTTATATCCTAACCTACTTTTCTTAAAGGGTGTGAAACCCCTCAAAACTTAAGTTGATATGGAATGGAGGGAGTAAAGAGATACAAATTTGACTCCGATCATGGTGCGATGAATACAATCCTTTTTTTACGAGAGTTTTCAAGTTTGAGTTTTTTTATATGAATTCTTTTTAAAAAAAATTATTCGACATGACAAATTCAAAATAATAAATTTTCATGAAAACCAGTCTTACAGTATCTCTAACAACAAGAAGCTAAATATTTTATTTCTTACTGTTCCCCATCTCAACATCAATAACTAGACATTAATAAGTGGAATTGCATTTTAAGATCTTTAATTATAATAATCACTTTGAACAAGAATTACATCATCTTGTTTCTCAACCATACCACTAACGGGTTTCCAAATATATATATTAAAAGTCAAATAAATAATTGGGCTAAAACATATTAATATTATATTCATATAAATTATAATGGATTACAAAGTAATTTGTTATGGATTTTTAATTAATATACATTAGTACACTATCATGTATTTTAACCTATTATGACATGTTAATTTTAATATTCTTCAAGTTATTAATTTCACTTAATACGAACAATTTACTTATAATTATTATTTAGATGATTTAGTAGCGTAAAAATTCTTTTATAATGTCAACATATAAATTAAAAGTTAAACTTATCTAGTCATTTCCTAGTTGCCTTATAACCATAATTCATCAAAAGACTTTGTTTCACCAATAAAAATTGCAATGCTATGGATAGAATCCCCCTCTCTTAAATTGAGACCTCGAGTTTTCAAATTCTAAATTAAAAAAATAAATTGTTGAAGAAAGTATTTTTCTCTTAAATGGGCTTTATATTACATGAATTCGAACAGTTGAGATTCCAATACAAATATCAAACACCAAATAAGAAACAAGAAATAATTTTTTTTTTTTAATTTTTCACCTCATTATCGATATCTGTATTGAAACTCGATTAGATTTGAATTTCCGTGACTTTATCATTACCCTTTGAACCTTTGTCTCTTAAAATCTATTGTAAATTGTTTTTCCCTTTTGACTCTTGAGATTAATAAAACATACCCTCGTGACAATGCCCTTAGATTTCTCTAGAAAATATGATGGATCCACTTGCTTTAAACTATAGTGGATAACTTAATAAATAAATAAATAAAAATACACATGTTGAGTATTTCAAGATTGAAGGAAAATAATACTTATAAAAAAATAATAACTTAAGAACAAAGAATGAATATTGAAGAAGATGTCTGTGTTTACTGTGCATTTTTATTGTGACGGAAGTATTAAGTTTAGATGAATGCAACGTTAGATAAATTATATTCTTGAAGATTTGAAGTTTTATTATGTTACACATTGCAATTTAAAGATTAAGCTTATAATAGTACGAGAAAAAAAGAATATAATATATGAAAAGCTTATTATATATAAAAAGGAAGGTAATCGGACAATAAGTAACGATAAGATAAGGGGAAAACAAGGTAATGACGTAATTGCGTTGGCGATTTAATCAAATTTTAGATTTCAAAAATTAACTCATATCAGCTCAGCTTCTGTATTTTTAGGACTTTCACTCACAAAAGTTTAAATATTTTCAAACTATAAAATATTAATGCATATGATCAAACGCAACTTTAAATTTTAAAATTACAACTTTAAATATTCTTTTGCTTCTCAGTGCACTTTCTTATTAATATATAGAAGCTAATAGAACCAGAATCCGAAATCCGAATTGTTTGGATTGTGGATTTGGATA